GAAACGCCCGTAGCAAGAAGAAGAAGAACATACAAAATAAAAACAATTGCGGTGAAGTATCTTACGTATTGTCATCCTTGACATTAAAAGTGTTTCTAATTAAACGACCACCACTGTATATAATGTGGCATTAAAAAATACATACAACCCTAAATTTTCTCCATTGTACCACCAGCCTCTATTTTATGGTGGTACGAAGTTCGCTGGGTCAGCTAGTATTCCAGATATCCTTTACAGCAAACTACATAACATTTTGACATTTTTCATCTATAACAAGGGAGCGCGATGGCGCGGGCGGTTAGCGCGTTCGGCTGCGATCGTTGAAGTCAAGCAACTTTCGCAATAGTCGGTCATTGGATGGGTGACCAAAAAACTTCTATCTCGAATTCCTCCGTGCTTCAGAAGACACATTAAGCCGTTGGTCCCGGTTTCGTCTTAAGTCGTTAGTACCCGCCAATCCGCACTGGGCCCGCGTGGTGGGTCATGGCCCAATCTCCTATTCCATCCATAGGGAAGGCCTGTGCCTCAGCAATGGGGACATCAATAGGCTGGTGATGATGAAGATGATCTGTACCCCTAGCACGAACCTATATCGTTTGCGAGTCCGAAATGTCCTTGTCAAATGTGTACAGATTTTTAGTTCTCGTTACGTACTTTGTGCCGCTGCTGTTCAAGTTTCCATACAAAATTTGACATTGACATTTCGGTTTGCAAACTATTCGAATTCATTAATGGTTCGTGCTAAGAATACTATAATAACATACACTCGTGCGACTTGACGCAGTCTAGTCAAATATCCGACCGCAACTTAGTTTTATTTTTGAGTTGGACCAACAGCGGGGGAAAATCGACAGAGGGAAACGCTGTGAATACCGACTCCTCTCCTGGCCGCGTCGGCCGCGTTGCTCTACTTTTTAAGTATTTAAGCCATTTCATTTTATAAATATCCCTCAAGATCATTTCTGTCATTTTACGACATCTATTGAACTTTAAAGTAATTCAAATAGTCAATACTCAATTGTTAGGTAAATTTTAGTGAAAAATATATATAGTTAAACTGTACCAAACACTGAACATAAAATCATTTTTATAAGTAACAAGTAACCAAAACAATTTGAATTTAAAAATTGTGGGCACTAACATACCACTTAAAAATCTGGTAAAATAACACCAAATTAAGTATAGGTAAGCCTCTTAACTGAGACCTCGCCTGCGGGGTGCGGGTTGTGGGGGAGGACGAGAAAGGGGACTGTAACTTAACAGTATTTTTTAAATTCAGTTTAGTGTGCCTATAAATTGGAAGGATCCATTATGTTATTTCTATTTACTTATAAGCATTTCACAGTTACATTTTAGAAAGATGCTGGTTTTATTCCAGTGCCTATACCAATTATTATTATTTTTTGTAGTAAATATTTTTTTAGAAAACACTTTTTCAATTAGAATCCTCTATTATTATGTGAAAGTGGTAAAGTATTTTGAGGTATGAAGTCTACAAAGTATAAATACTTATAAATACTTTTTATTAAATTGGCTACTAAAACGCAAAAAAAATATGCAGAAAATTCTACTTTGCTCATTTTAATAATTATATCGAATAATTATCTGAAAGGAGAATGAAGTTAATAACTATACCTTAGCACCAATATTGGTCAATAGCTTTTAAGCAACCGAAAAAATTGATTTGCCAACATTAATAATGTTACGTAAAGATATTATCTACTTTATGCGGATGAAAATTAGTTAATATTTTATTGCTAATTATATAACAAGCAGAGTGAACAAAAAAATTCATTACATTTTTTAAAAATTGATCTAGAATATATTTAGTATATTTTAATGTAATTAATACGTTTTCTGGATATTACTTTATATTTAACAGTAACTAATTCAATTAGTTAAATATTAATCAGTAAGGTAACACAAATAATATGAAAATATTAATATTATTTTATGCTACAGATTGGTTTTCAAAAAGAAATACTAAAGAATCTACGTAATAAGACAACAATATTAAAAATTGTTATATACTTCAATTCAATCACACATACAATCTTCAATCGTTCATTAGGGCAATTACACACGTTAAACATGCATTATACGCTATTACGTGGTTATACAAGACGTTTATGTCTTTAGAGAATGGGTGAGAGAACTACACCAAATATATGTAGCTTTTATTATTATTTTAACTTAGTACAAGCAAGCTGGTGTGATAAACGTAGGGCACCCGAGCCCATCGATAAATTAAAATCTGAAAAGTGTTTACAGTATATATTTACAGTATATTCTTTCCATTGTCACTCCAAATACCAAGAAAACGAGATAGTGATCAATAACAATAGAAATATTAGTTTATCTATGTGAAAAAACCACCAAGGAAAACTCTGTTAAAATTCTATAGTCATTCATGATTCCTTTGGTGGAAAGCATTTGTAAGAAATTCAATCTTTCCAATACCTTATAAAAGCTGTTAATTAAAAATTTGATTTCTTAAAAATTCGTTTCTTAAACTAGCACAAGGAAAAAATGGGTGTAAATAAAATATACGTTTAGATAATCCCAGTTTGTAAGAAGCAAAATTAAAAGCACAGGCAAAGGTCACTTTCAAATAATGTGATAGATTATTTAATTTGTTATTTTGCTATTACCATAGATATTGTGTATTTCAAGCCCATGCTAGATGGAGTGACCCAAACAGTGCGTACATGTGACCACTGAGTATTTATACTAAAATTTATACAAAGGTTTATTAAGTGATAATTTTGCTTGCAGGAACTGCAAAGCAGGGGCGTAAAACACTAGAACATCATCTTAGGACTATAATACAAAACTAAAAGATTATTTATATATTTGACTTGACTACGTATTTGAGCTCATATAAAAGTAAAATATATTTATTTTTTTACCTTTAATAGTAAAAAATTAATTCTAATTGAATTTTGTATGTACGAAAGCTGTGTAACTTTTGCAGTGTGACCCTTTAAGAATAAAATGTGACAAACTACACAGCAGAAATAAATATAAACTTATTATTTATGTTGATTGAAATGTGTCGTAATGCAATTTTTGGTCTAAGGTAATGGAAAATTGTATTTTTTACAAGTAAAATATTGCAATAAGTTGTAAATGAATGCTCTAAACATTAAAAGGTGGAATATAAAACTCAAATATCCATAACCTGTTGAACATAGTTTAATGTATTTAGTTAGTCTTAATCCCAAGGCGCCTTTCTCATCGGATCGTTTCGTTTTCATTTATGTACTGAATCTGTACAGATTCTTTACCGAGAACCACTTCTTGACCGGCTCGGTTTCGTTTCGTTTTGTTTACTACGGTGTTTGTCTTTCATTATAATGCCGTCACGTCGGGCGTAACGTCGGAAGTCGCATGATTCGGTAAGGTTTGGTACAAAGAGGTGTGTATGCGCTCCGTAAAGAATCTGTACCGAACAATTCAATGAAAAAGTCAAACTTTTGGAATAAAAATCTTTCTTAGTAACATGTAATAAATAAGTAGGCCAGTAGGAACCGAATTGTAATCGAAAATAATTCCTTTGTTTTAATGGCTTAATTTGTTGCCTAATATAATTGTTCTAGGATTTCTCCTCCCCCGGAGTTGTGCGTAGGTCGTGGGTGGTAAAAATATACCCCAAAAGGAATACTTTTGCGTTTAACGATTATATTTTGTAAATGACTTACATTATAGAAAACGGTTCTTTATAACAGCTGTAGATTATTGCACGCCTCACAACGCGTAAGCGTGTGGGACTGCTTTACTCTCGATAGGCCGCTATGTGACGATTTTACAATATAAAATCCCTTTTATCTCCAAAGTTAGACGATAAATCATTAAAAAAAGGGGTGTTTTAAAAACTAGACATATTAAATTATAAAGTCAGCGTGTTTTTTCATTTATTTTTTAGTATATATAACAAAAAAATGTCGTTAAATAATTATTAGTACTGCTGTCCGTTGATCTGTGCACTAGTTTGTCTGCACGTTTTAGAAAAATTAATTGTAATAAATCCTTTTGGATTAATTTTCACTTATACTGAGGATGAACCCTATTTCTTATCATGATTGAACTGATAACCGTTTTAAAGATATTAATGAAATTCAATGGAATTTATTTACTGGGTTTCTGTTTCGTGAATGTGAGGCGTGCACATTTGGAATTTCCGAATTTTTAAACTTGCATACAATGAGGCCTTATTAATTTTTTGGACGACCGTTCTCATGCTGTTACTCATCAAAATTGGGCTGCATCGAGATAGGAAATCTATGAAATAATTTTAATGGTTTGTGTTGCTAAATACAGAGGTAAGATTAAGCCTAATTTTCAGTTACGGTTTATAATAATAAACCGTAACTAAAAAAAATTTGGCCGTACTTATAGCCTTGTCGACGAGTGAATGACGTAGTGGTGTGGTAAGCGACGATGGACAAAGTATATAGCAAAGTTCGTCATATCTACAAGGGTACATTTATACCTCCCACAACTTATACACAACTCCATCGGTTGGGGAGGGGACTTAGGATAGTCATATTGGACAACAAATGAAGCAATTAAAACAACAGAACATTTTTCAGGAATTAGGGAAACCACCCAATCATTGGTACTTTTGAGTATAAAGAAACAATAGATTATCGGAATAGTACTGCCAATGTTCAAATTTTAAACCATATTAGGTTTTTCTTTTTATTTATGTACCGAGCTTGAACAATCGATGGTTTCCTTGTTTCTTCGAACTAAACTCAAAATTGCCATTTGATTTATCCCTACTGTCCTATATAAGTAAATTATTAAAAAATGACTTAAATAAGGCCTATTAAGAAATTTAAATATCTCCTTCAATACAGTTGAGAGCATTCATTCATTATATTCGTTCAACCTACAGTTATATAATACAGTTGAACAGGAGCCTTGCAAGATGATTTAGAGCTTTTAATGGATGTTAATTCTGATTTTTTTAAATGGTGTTATGTAAGCACACTTACCTGTTGGTCCCAGAAGAACATCGGCAAGTTGTTTACTCGGGAGTCGTTGCGGCCAGACATGGCTTGTTGCACCCACATTAGATCGCTCGATGCAGACGGCTGACTCCACAAGGAATCGACCTAAAGAGAAATTTCAATTATAATTTATTTAAGCTAAACACGACTCACTGATCAGATTAATCAGTCTGATGCTTTTTTGATTCCTTCGTTTTAGGTAAAACTAATAAAAATCTACGACAGCCCAAAATTTTTAATCCGCTAGGTAGAAAACAATAATCAATTAAAATGAAATAAAAATTCATTAAAAACATTATCATTTGATAAATATTTCAGTAGTCTACATCTTTTGTTACAAAATTTGCAATAAATTAAGAGGTAAGATTACCTTATGAATTATGTGTAATTTGCCAAGCTATATAAATTACTCATCTACGTTTACTGTTTTATCTGATTTTTTTTAAATCTCTACCTACGACGGAGTAGGGAAAAAATAATATAGTTATTAATTTTTCTATTGTATAATAATTGTATAAATTATTAGCGGATGAAGAAATTGCACGGAAGAGAATGATTGGGGCGTATAGAAGGGGCATAGAACACAGAGTACCCCCGAATTTTTCTTTGTGAAATCGTGTTCGCCCAACTTGGTATGTGTTTGTTTTATGTTATTTCATAGAGTAGCGCTGGGTGAGGCGGGTCTCCCGCGCAGCGCTGTTCTATGAAATGACATAAAAACTGCACGCGGAGCCGACGTCCGCTCCGTGCTCCTGCTAAACGCAGCGCAGGCTCTTATGTGTGTCCAATGAAAATGCGCGTTACCACCCCGCACACCACCAAGTTTGTTTTTTTATTGTATTGATATCTATTAATTAAGATCGATTAAGCTGTAACAAATATAATATTACAAAAGAATTCCTTTGTAAATTATGATTTCTTATCTGCATTTTCTACTTTTAATTCTATTATTTTTATATATTTGAATATTAGAAGTTATAGTATGTTATGTATGTATGATAATGAGAATGACGCTGATGAACGACATCATTTACATCATTACAAAACAGTAGCGCGTTTACAAGTCGCGGTAACAATATGAATAGAATTGACAAAACCAAACCATGTCAGTAGCTCATCAAAATCATAGACTAAAACATACAGATAAAAGGAGTGCGAGTGTTGCCTCAAGTAAAAAATCGGAGAAATAATATCACGAGTGGGTCAAACCACAGTAGAGAACCTAAAATATCTGTTTTCTTCATTTGGAGACAGTGTTAATAAGAAATAAAAATGTGTCTTCTAGTGCAGTGCTATTATTTACTAATAATAAAAACCAAATAGTAACGGGAATATAAAACATAATATTCGAATGACCTGTTCTATATTTTCTTTATTTCATGTGTTCAAATGTGTTTTTTCTAAAAAAACATCTGCTTACGTTATTGCGTTATTGCATATTTTGAATGTTGTCGTATCAATTATTATAATGATCATGAATAAACAATTCCTCTTTCGGAAATATAGCAGTGAATATTTTACCACTCCTAATAAAGGTGCCCGAGTATATAAAAAGCTACATTTGTTTTGCCCTTGCGTTCTAACTATTAGCATAAATAATTGTAATAATGCACCACATAAAAAAGGCTAAAATAAATTGGCCAAAAAAATATAGTTTGTTAAGCAAAATAAAAAATCAAAGAAATAGCTGCATAAACATAGTGGTTCTTTGATTTTCAAGTAGATGAACCACTCTTATTGTAGCAAAACTAAAATAAAACAGAATATAATATTATTTTCTTATTAAATTACCATTGGCTGTTGCTGTGGGAAAGGCGGATTCCTAATAAGTCCCACTGATCCAAATTGCATTGAATCCATTGTAGGAGCCTCATTTAATTTTGGCATATTCATCACCTAGAAAACAGAATGGTGATTTGTAAAAAGCACTTTGGGATGGCCAAACTGTAAGATGATTTTATATAAGCAGCCAGCTCATTACTAATAACTCTGTATCCAAAGTGCAGGGACTATTATTTATAATCAAAGAAATTATCTATCGCGCCCTTAATAATATACAGGGAAAGTCAGCGAACGATTTAGGGATAATGTATGTGCGCCTGAAATGAGCATGAATATGTAGGATATATCTTTAAGCAGTTTATTAACGACTAGTTATTAACGAAGTAATCTTTTTGTATACCTGTTTTAAGTATCAAAAAAGTTTATTATTCTTATAGTTTAATATCGCTTACCGAGTCCAGACCAATTCCTTGCTGCGCAGAGAGCATAGATTCGTGTGGCCCCGGCGAACGGTCATAACCCAGCTGGAACAAAGACATGACGGTCTGTGCAAAGCGAAACTAACAATTACCACTAAATAAAATAAAATACTTAATAACTTTTGTCAATACAGGCCGAACCCTATATGCCCACAACCATTATATTATTCAATTCCTTACGTGAACCCCCCCCCCCCCCCCCCCCTATATATAATTATTATTATTTACTCAAGCACCTTTTACAGAATTATTATTACAAAATAATGGTTTACGGTTTATGCATAAGGTTTATGTTTATGAAATTAAGTGGGATTTTTTTATTTTTATATTTGAGTTGATTGAATGAAAGGTAAATTGCGGTTTACGATTTATGACGTATTAAAAAAAACTCCTTACTAGATCTCGTTCAAACCAATTTCCGGTAAAAGTTTGTATGGTAATGTAAATCATATGTATTTTTAGTTTTATCATTCTCTTAGATGTATTGTTAGATTAGTGGAATATATTTGTGTAATTAAATAAGAATACTTTCAAGGTGAATAAATAAACAGCGTTTCGAAAACGATACATTGGGCAAATATACAGTATGTATTAAACAGTAAATAAATATTGAAACAAAATATGCATTTTGTATTTCAGTAGGAGCAGTCTTCACAAACAAATGATTTAGTCGAAATTGACAATGATTTGGATTTGGGCGATCAGTGACAGGCTAAGGTATTATTAAGGTATAATTTAGACTGCCACGGTGATGGATAATTTCAGATTTAGATTCTGGAGTTGAGACAAATGTAAGTTTCGAGAACTTATCAGCAAGATAACTTCTGACACCTGCCAAACTGGTTCACGGTGTTAACATTGATGACAGTGAGTTTGAAGTAGATGATCTTCCTCTCTACCAACCAAATAAGACGAGACTGCCCTAATCGAGATGAGGGCAGTCTCGTCCTCATGTCGATGAGGCCACAAACCCGAATGTAGGTAAAACGAGACTTTCTTTCTTTCTATAAAAGTTAATGAGTGGGTCGCTCCACCATCAAGAACAGTGGTGACTGCATCAGAAGTTCTTAACCCAATAGATTTGTTCTATTCTGTAAACAAAGCAACACGCGATGCACTAGAAGTAGACACTCTGGAATATTGGTGTTGCATTGTCCGAAATCTACTTCATAAGTTCGGCACTGATTTCCGTCGGTTCTTCTTAAAGGGTTTTCATAAATATTTCTACCTTCAATCCGAAATTGTAATGCAAAACACAGGCTCGGTATAAAGGGGTATTGTTCGTTTTCGAATCATGGGCATATATGGGTTAATATTGAACGAAAATACACAACAATACTTCGTGTTATCTCTTACTAGGAAAGGTTACTGTGAATAATTGGGCAGCTTGATTGTAACCAGATACTTTCTATTTCAAGTAACTGTACAAGTTACATGCCGTTTAATTAAATTCAGCAAGTTGAGTTTCTAAATTTCAATGTTAAGTTGAACAAATTATCAATATTTAGGAGGTATAAAGCTTTCCAAAATGGAAGCTTTACGTCCTTGCGGCAAGTAAAGCTTTCCCACGCGCGTACCCGTAGAAATAATGCATTTGCGCATAATCTTGCGATGAATTTTTTAAATTAGTCAGAAGTTATGTAACAACTTTTTTTTTAATTGAAAGTCCATTCTGTTTTACTTAATCCATTTTTATTTAGTATCGATTTTTTTTATCTTAGTAACTACAAACAATAGGCATTCTGTTATAAAAAATAGAAGAAAAGTTGACCCAAAAAAAGGTACTCTGCTATCAGCTCGCACTGGCTTGACACCCTAAAAGAAACACTCTGTATATAATATTGAATACTGTAAATTTTTTGGTATGAAAACATTTTTAAATAGCAATATCTTTAAAAAAAGGTCAAGTTTACTGCTTCTCGTGCTAATTTAAATTTTAACAGATCTTCGGAAATTGCACTTTTTGCAAAATCTTTTTTGTGTGTCAAATATGGTTAAATACAAGGAATAAGAAATGATATGGAAGCATAACTTTCTAACAAAGGCCGCTAAAACATAGGTCCAACCTCATACAACTAAACTTCAATACTACGCACACAGACAAAACAAAATACTTCGACAAATCAGACATCTCCAAATGAATTCGGCTATCAAATTCATTAGGTAATATAATGTTAAACAGAAATCCCAACCAATGCCATGATCGACGAGTTGATCGCATTTTTTTCCAACCCTCTTGATCGCAGTTTGCTTGGAACCACTTTTTAGCACAGTTCGTATTCCATATTATTTCTAATTCGTTGGTTAAATATCTTTTTAATACAGTTGCTCAAAATGTGGCGTATTGCAGGGACGTGTAGCGTTCGGGATCTGGGCTATTTCACACTCGTGCTTTTTTTTGCCTTTCCCGAACTCGTGCGTTTTCTTTCCCAACTGTCAAAATTATTTCTATTAAAAAAAACAACCATGAAGTTTTAACTAAAAAAAATCATAGAAGTTTTTGCGATTCATGCAAATAGGTTTATTTGTTTTTAAAAAGAAGCTACCTATACTAATTTGTCCAATATCAGAATTAATTAATTGATTGAATGAGTTAGGTAAGGTATCAGTTCATTTCATATCATTAAATTTCAATTTCATTTCTTATAATAAAAAATACTAAGTACTAAAGACTTGGCTGTATGGGCAGTTCCCTTTGCCTACCAGAATGGGTGAAAAAAACTGCTTACATTCTACGGTTGGCGCCATTTTCCGAAATTTTCTTTGCGAGTTTAGTTGTTTTTTACACAAAATGAGTAATTTCGACATAAATTTTTTTGAATTAACTCCACCGGACCTCAGTATAATTGCACAAAATGCTTCGGAGAACATTTTACCGGAAAAGTCAAAAATTCGCTACATATCTACATACGATGAATTTATTGCGTGGAAAGAAGAGAAAAAAGCAAATAGTTTTTCAGAAAATGTTATGTTGGCATACTTTTCCGAACTCTCAGCAAAATTAAAACCTTCTACGTTATGGTCAAGGTTTTCGATGATAAAAAGTATGCTGAAAATAAGGAACAACGTGGATATAAGTTAATATCCAAAATTAAATTCTTTCTTAAAACGACAATCAGACGGGTTTACCAGTAAAAAGTCGAAAATATTAACATCGAATGACGTGGAAAGGTTTTTGAAAGAAGCTCCCGATGATTGTTATTTAGCCACAAAGGTAATTTTTTATAAGTATACATTCTACATTTTTCTTTAGTGTTCAGTTTACAAAATGGCAAAATACAGTCAATACATTATTTATATGAATCAAATTGTTTTTTTTAGGTTGCTCTGATTTTTGGCGTTGTTGGAGCATGCCGCAGAGAGGAGTTAGCCAATATTACTTTAAAAGATATTGAAGCCCATGGAGAAATGCTACTTATCTGCTTACATTCTACGGTTGGCGCCATTTTCCGAAATTTTCTTTGCGAGTTTAGTTGTTTTTTACACAAAATGAGTAATTTCGACATAAATTTTTTTGAATTAACTCCACCGGACCTCAGTATAATTGCACAAAATGCTTCGGAGAACATTTTACCGGAAAAGTCAAAAATTCGCTACATATCTACATACGATGAATTTATTGCGTGGAAAGAAGAGAAAAAAGCAAATAGTTTTTCAGAAAATGTTATGTTGGCATACTTTTCCGAACTCTCAGCAAAATTAAAACCTTCTACGTTATGGTCAAGGTTTTCGATGATAAAAAGTATGCTGAAAATAAGGAACAACGTGGATATAAGTTAATATCCAAAATTAAATTCTTTCTTAAAACGACAATCAGACGGGTTTACCAGTAAAAAGTCGAAAATATTAACATCGAATGACGTGGAAAGGTTTTTGAAAGAAGCTCCCGATGATTGTTATTTAGCCACAAAGGTAATTTTTTATAAGTATACATTCTACATTTTTCTTTAGTGTTCAGTTTACAAAATGGCAAAATACAGTCAATACATTATTTATATGAATCAAATTGTTTTTTTTAGGTTGCTCTGATTTTTGGCGTTGTTGGAGCATGCCGCAGAGAGGAGTTAGCCAATATTACTTTAAAAGATATTGAAGCCCATGGAGAAATGCTACTTATCAAGATTCCAAACACAAAAAATAAGATACCGCGAAGCTTTGTTGTTGAAGGAGATTTTCTCACAATAGTGAAAAAATATATGAACCAGCGGTCCCAAAAAGGAAAATCCGACCGTTTTTTTCAAAATTTCCAAAAAGGGAAGTGTACAGCTCAAGTAATCGGCATAAACAAATTTGGTAATATGCCGAAAGAAATAGCTACGTTTCTTGGTCTGCCGGATGCTGAGTGTTATACTGGGCACAGCTTCAGAAGGACCTCTGCTACATTATTGGCAGATTCAGGAGCCAATTTGACGTCCTTAAAGCGACTAGGTGGTTGAAAATCGGACAAAGTTGCAGAAAGCTATATTGGTGATTCATTAAACAACAAACTAGAAACTGGGAAAAAGATCACACAATCCATTAATTTAAGGTCCAGTCCGTCTCCTTCACATGCTGAAGAGAACGTTCGTCCATCTATGAGTACCTTCGTTGATAATGATAATTCATCAGATCCAATTCCATCAACTAGCAAACGCCATTGTATGACAAATATACATGAACAATCATACGAAATTAATAATAGTTTGTCTCAAACAGTAAATATGCAACGTAAAACTTCCCCAGTTAGTATAAAAAACTGTACCAATTTCAATGTATATGTGAATTATAACTTTTATAAGAAATAAATGATTAGTTAATTGAGTTTATTGTGTTTTTATAATTTGATTAAATTGCTTCATTTTTTCGCAACTGTATTAAAAATAGTCGTTCAGTACACGTACGCAACCGTCATTGCAACTCGTTCCGACTGTCAACCCTCGCCTTCGGCTCGGGTAGACATTTGTCGGAACTCTTTGCAATGACAACCATTCCGTACTAGTAATGAAATATACTATACCATCGGGGTGAACGGCACGACCGGACCGTAGGAACCGAGGGGCCGCATGTGCGTATCGCACGCGCGCCGGACCATGAAACTCGGGCTGAAGAAACCGGCTCTGTACCATTTATACATCTCTTTGCTTGTGAACGGTCCTTGTATGTTTTTCTGTGGAATATTTACGTGTTAAATAAAGAAAATTAAAAGGATAAAATTTTAATTCATTCCGACTCTGGCATGATTGCCTACTTAAAACTAATTGTAACATCAGTCTCTCTCTTTCATTCTGTATAGAGAATGACAAGGATACACTTTGGTCAATTTAAAGTTAAGGTTTAGAGATTCATGCCAAAATCGACACCACAGTTTGGTTTTAATCAGAAAGGTAATTATTACAGTAAACATGAATTTTGAGTCTAAGTTCTTTGTACCAGATTTTGATTTCTTATACCTAATATACCTAATTGATATAACAAACAATAATAAAATTAACAAACAGAAAATAAAAAAAACCTTTATTAAAGCTACCAGATTTTAAACAATTATTAAAAATTTTAAAAATATATTGATGAATGTAGCGTGTCAGTGACACAAGGCTTCCCCGAGCCTCTTCAGAATGTCTAGTTGATGTTCGTATCTTTGAAGAAATGCCGTTTCTTCACTTACACAGTAAACTCTTTCTCCTCTCGTTATATTTTGTTCACAGTATTTACGATAAATTTTAATAGTGGCTTGAAACACTTGAGATCAATAAGCAAGTCTTGCAACGTATTAGGTAAGACCTTATCGATTGCTTCAAGTTCATCAACAAGTATTAGAGGTTGCAGTCCGAACCGTCTTTATTTAAAAAATATATGCTGCAGGTCTTCATTTTCTTGGCATTTTAGATTATTTAGACATTTTTTATCATCTGCCATCTTCAGTCTATGCAGGTGAGTGTGAAATTGACCATGACCAAATCTTAGTCTGTTAAATGTGGTAACGAATTTTCTGGATTTCACCATTTTGTTATTCCACCAAGTTTGGGCAGGCGGGCTCCCTTGGATCTTTTGATACCACGTCCTTTTTCGTTGCTAATTGCCTCCCAATGTTTTATACACAGAAATGCCAGGTTATGATGACACAAGGCTTTGAAATCAGTGAATGGAACCATCATAGACAAAGAATGGTCTTCACTTGGTGTATATCGTGCTGCTTCGTCAACTCTTTCGTTACCGGTAATGTCACAATGCGTGTAGTAAATAATGTAGGTACCCACATAAATAGAACTCTCTTCTTGCCCGATTATTTTAGGTTATACAATAAATGCTTAATATAAAACACTAAATAATTTACATTGTTTCTATAACTATTTATAAAGTATTTTAATACACTCCGAGAGTCCGAAAAAATAAGAAAATTATTGTTATGATCTAAGCCTAGATATATAACAATGCCCGCTGTATATTTACTACAATCACTAGGAATCAGTATACATTTACTAAAATTGAATTGAACATCATAGTAAGTCGATGTTACTCTATCTTTAGACTTGGATCTATCAGTGTAGATTCTGTAAAAAGATTTGTTCTCTAAAAATTGCATTAATTCAGCATTGGTTCGAATTATATCATCTTCTAAGATAAAGTTACAATTAAACAAGGCATTAAAGGAATTTAATACAGAGGCCAAAGACTATTTATATATAAATTTTCAAGTGTCTTATGTATATGTACTGCTATTGCCACAACTCTGGAGTATAACCAGATTTAAGTAGATCTGTGTTGTGGTAAGAAACATTTTGCATATTCTTAAATCTCTCTAGGGGCAATAGTTTACCTTCAATAAATGACATTTTAGATGATGCATTTTTAATACAAAATCTTTCAGTTAATTTCAAACATCGAAGTATAAGAGGTGGGATACAACTTTAAGCTTGCATTACATGTATAGGAGTAGATCACATTGCACCTGTTATAATTCGAAGTGCCCTATTCTGAAGAATGTCTAGTTTTTTTAATAAACTTGGACCTGCGTTCATGTAAGCTACAGAACATTAACAATATTTTTGGATCTGTGGCCCAATGTACACCTGCTTATGATCTAAGCATATTTAACCCATGTGTAGCAGACTTAATGATTTTGTCAAAATGACTTTGAAAGTTTAATTTTGGATCCAACACATAGTATGTATTCAATAAGAAATTTGTGGGTTTGTACCCATGGTAGAGGACAACTATTATGTACACAGTCAGGCCATAAGTATTGTAACACAGTAAAAACTTTTCTTTTAGAATGCTGGTCACAAAAAAGTTAATTGAATTCGAATTTCGAATTGTTCATGAAAATAAAAATGTATACTTTTTAGAATTTTATTCATTTTTAAATATGGGGTGGACTCTTAAAGAAATCCGTGTTGCAGTTATTGCGTTGCATCGTTGCGGTTACGCGCCAATTCAAATTTTTGACATACTGAAAAATTAGAATATAACCAAAAGATTCGTTTATCGTACCATCAAACGATACAATAAAGACTAGTGTAGATGACAGGTCAAGATGCTCGTCTAATGGACCTGAGACTGAAGAGATGCCGCGCTTTGTTGAAGCGATACGCGGAAAAATATATGGGGAAATTCTTTCTTCGGATGAAAATATTTTTACCGTAGAAGAGAGCTACAACAAACAAAATGATAAGGTGTGCAACCGTGTTCCGCGTGTCCAACGAGATCATTTTCCATCTTCGGTCATGGTATGGTTGGGAGTTTCTTATTGGGGCTTAACAGAGGTACATTTTTGTGAGAAAGGTGTAAAAACGAATGCATTTCGTCGCTTATACAACAATACCGCGTAAATAAAATTTGACAAGTTTTCAGGAGAGACAAAAATGTGTTTATTTTTTATTAAACACTTCGTTAATGTTTTATGAATTTAAAAATAGGTATGAGTTAGCTTTCATTTTGATATCAAGAGATAATATTAGTATATTTAGTTCTGTGAAACTAAATATTTGACTTATGCGGTTTAAGTCCTACAAAATAAAGACTTCTGCGGTTTTCCTACTTTTTATTTATCAGTAATTAAGTAACAAAAATTAATTCTCCAAAGCTAAAGCGTCTTATATAATACTAGTAGGAACTATAAAAAATACTTGACAATGCACCAAGGAACTTCAGTTCCTTGCAATGCACTTAATTGTATTTTGCTGTCTAAGGTACACTTATCAATAAAAATGAGTATTTATGTGAAAATTATTATGATCTTATATAACATACTTTGTTAAATTGTTTTGGTAAAAAAAGCTTTTATAATTATAATTAAAAAGTGCCAATAAAATGTAATAGAAAAAGACAAAAATAAAGCAAAACTAAACAGTTTAAAAAAAAACATACATTATTTTATAGGAAAAATAACGTATAGTAATAGTTTGACAAGTTCCGTAATATTAAGAAATTAACAATTCTTGATTCTGTTACATCATATTAATAATTGTTTTATCGTTCAATTACATCACAGTTAAAAATTGAACTTGGAATGGTATATCATCGTAAAATTAATAACAGTTAGATGACAGCACCGCCTTTCAATCTTGTAGATCCTTATAGTTTCGCTGGGAAATTGGTAGTCTCTAGTAGTAGTATATATATAGTTTAAAAAATGCATCGAAACCTACGATATTGCTTAATTTTGTCGGACGTTGAGGCAGTGGTTGCAAAGGAACATTAAAATTTAATTTATACCAAATAGTACCGTTTGGGTTGTGAACTGGAACCCTTAAGTCAGTTACAGTTGGATCATTGACTTTCTTTCCCAGCCGAATGCTTTCACAAATTAAGTCTTTACTTAAATCTGTAAAAAAGCTATAATCTACAATGCAACATTCGTGTGGCATTGGGTCAGTTCTGACTTTTATTGCTATATCAGCATACTGTGAAGGTAACCCGTTCCTTTCTTTCAATATGCGGTGCTATTTCTGCATCAGTAATATTGCCTGCTTCATGACCACAGCAACATCCCACCTATCTTTTTTTAGAAATTCTTCAAAAGTATTCATGACCACCATGCTTTTTTTGAAAAGCTGGCATTTCGTGAATGATTAAATGAATGATCATTCACGAAATGCCAGCCTTTGAAAAACAAAGCATGATGCTCATGAATATGTTGAAGAATTTCTAAATAGTCTCCCAAAAACGCATTCTCGTTACTGTCGATCAAATACATCAAGAAAGTACTTGGAGCCATTATTCCAAATCATGTTTCATCTTAACAAAGAGTACACCAATAAATGTGATTACGATATATTTTTAAAGCTCAATTTGAGCCTATATGGCCCAAAAAAATATAGGTGTGATGTTTACTGTGGTCATGAAGCAGGCAACATTACTGATGCAGAAATAGCACCGCATATTGAAAAAAAAAGGAACCGGTTACCTTCACAGTATGCTGATATAGCAATGAATGCTATAACTGACCCAATGCCATACGAACCTCGCACTGTAGATTGTAGCTTTTTTACAGATTTAAGTAAAGACTTAATTTATCAAAGCATTTGACCGGGAAAGAAAGCCAATGATCCAACTGTAACTGACTTAAGGGTTCTAGTTCACAACCCAGATGGTGCTCTCACGTGGTGGCTGGAAATTCTCACGTCAACACAATTTTCTATGGCGCACTGACGACTTGTGCGGTTGTAACACTGTCAACGATTTGCGCGGTGCCAGTACAACTCAATAAATTGCTATGATTGGCTAATTTCGAAATTTTACATATTACCATTGGTTGCGCGGCAAAAAGATCTATCCAATGATGTACAAAACGTCACATCGTCATTTTTCGACTTGCGCGGTATTGTTGTTTAAGCGACGATTTGTGTATCAAAATAGTCCTGACGAACCTTGTGGAACCTGTTTCTCATACCATGTTCAATAACAGGCACTGGGTATTCCAACAAGATTAGGCGCCAGCTCATAGAGCGAAGAGCACACAAGACTGGCTGATGGCGCGTGAAATCGACTTCATCCGGCACGAAGACTGGCCCTTATTCCTAAAATTGGTGTTGTTTTCTTAGTGACCAAGTTTCGCATCCATATGTCAGGCATGGTAGGATACAGGTTTTAAAGACCTTTTTTTCAGTGATATGCTTAGCTCTCTAGCTTTAGTTATCTCTTTCAGACTCCAATACTTCCTCCTTCCATTGGCTATACGTGAGTTGACTTCTTTAGAAGTTGGATCTCTGGGTGAAATAATTTGACCAAGATGAATATATTCTTGCACATCTCCAAAGCGAGATTGTCGAATTGAATAGCAATTTAAGATGAGTTGGTTAGAAGTTTCTTTTGACAGGGTTCATCTTTAGTCCGACTATTAGGTTCTCTTTGGATAATTCCTGTATCATTATCTCCAGGAACTTCGAGTCTTCCTCGAAGATCACAATATCGTCAGCGAAACTTAGATGACTAGGCCTTCTTCCATCTATTTTGAGCCCATACTGATCCCAGTGGATATTGCGGAAAATATCTTCCAAAACAGCAGAAAAAAAATGTGCCAGTGGATCCCCTTGACTCCTAAATAATCATAAAGTAAAAAAGCCAACTTTTTAAAATAAAAATCTGGTTTCTGGTTATTTTTCAATGTAAAAAATCAGTAAATAGTCAATAAATAACAGACTCAAAAAACATTTTTCATTTTGTTGACATGTTATTATCATAAATGTAAAAATATAATCATAATAAATATCTTTTTTCCATCACAATACTGAATTATAGGCTGAGTTATATTTGTGAAGGAACTAGCACCTTAAATAGGTTCCAGAGACACCTTAGCTACAGGAGACTAGGCCCATCCCACAGATAACAAAGATAACATAGAATATCAACCTAGACAATAATACAATGGTAAACATGTAAAATGTATAAGTAATCATTCGTTATTCTTCCGTAATTCTTTTTCACTTTATTAAAAGCACTTTATTATGTCTTTATATCTTTCAATATAGTCTAAAGCAAACATTGCTAAGTACTTGAGTAACAAATCTTTAAAGTAATTTTGGCTGTATCTTTTTATTGCAGCTCCCAAATATCTATCCTCTTTTCAATAAATAGCTAATAAGCACAGGGACCAGTTACACCGTGTTTTGAAGTTCTCTGATCATTTAAATTTAATTGAGTGAGGTGAGCAAAAACTTTTATGGCTATTATTAATTTAACAGTATTATTACTCGACATAGTCCAAGAGCTACTGAAGCCTCCGAGTAACGGTCTGTCTGTAAGGCTAGAAATTCTTGTTGATGAGTCATAGCATGCTTAGTACGGTATGCATCGCCTGGCACTCCTCAGCCCTGCACGTCATCAAGCCGTATATTTTTGAGTGTCAGTAAAATATTAAAAAAAAACTTGTTGCTGTAAGCTTCAAATTTTTAAACAATTTATATTAATTTTTGTTTAAAAAAAATTGCCAGACGTTTACGATGAGCACAAGTACCCGCCAGGTGAACCGAAAGATGTGTAATATATACATTAAAATAAACTTTATTCTGTAAAGTTGAAATTTATATGTGTTTGTTTAAGCGATTTAAAGTAAGTAGGTAGAATGCCAGGCGGTTCTGGCTAGCATAAGTCCTTGCCAGGCGAGGGGAGACGCTGCGCGGCAGTACGAGTAAAAGTTGTGGTATAAAACTTATATTATTGATGCAAATTAAATGAATAGAAGTTATGGGAAATATATTTTTTAATATTATAAGTCTTCAAATTAATTAATTCATCCTCTCATTCCTCTGCAAAAAAGGTTCTTCACGCCACTCTTAAAGGACCCCAGATTATAGGAAGGAGGGAACACTTGTGCGGGTAAAGAATTCCACTTACGAATAGTACGACAAAGAAATGAATCACCAAATTTCTTTGTTCGTGTAGGAATAGTGGCCACAGTAAGTCGGTGGCAACGTAGGCCAGCGCGCGTGGTCCTATGAAGAAAAGGTGATGGAGGGATGAGGGAGAATAACTTCTCAGAACACTCGCCGTGGTATAGTCGGTAGAATGCGCTTAATGATGCCACATCGCGGCGTAATTGTAGACTCGAGTTTCTTGGTTACCTCTTCATCGCCAATGATGCGGACAGCGCGCCGCTGCAACCTATCCAAGGCATCGAGGAAGTACTTAGCGGAGCCATCTCAGAGATGCGAGCAATATTCCACGCAGGACCGCACTTGCGTTTTGTACAACAAGCATAGTTGATCGGGCGTGAAAAAACACCGCACCTTGTACAGGACACCGAGTTAGCGTGAAGCTGTTTTGATCACGGTTTCGATGTAGTCCTTTGAATTCAGGTCTGAGCGAATTTCCATACCGAGCATGGTAATGTTGCTCTGTAGTGCCAGTTTTGTGCCCTAAAGAGAGGGAAGGGGAAGGAATGGCGATGTTTTTGCCGTGAAAGCGCAGGCCTGAGTTTTCTTGGTATTGAACTCAACCAAGTTGCTGGTACCCCATTCGGAAATGTGGTCCAAAGCCTGATTGAGTTCAGCGACAAGATTCTCCCGTTTCTCCTTGGTTTCTACCTGCCCAGCCGCTGCATGTCCAAAGTATCTCGCATGCACTGTACTATCATCTGCATAGCAATGAATATTCGCAAGTGGAATCAAATCATTGATATGCAGCAGAAAGAGTGTAGGGGATAGAACGGAGCCCTGAGGAACACCGGCATTCACTGACATGAACTGCGAACTACATCCGTCTGTAAGGACGCGAATTCTACGTTCACGCAGGAAGTCAGCTACCCAGGCGCAGAGCTGAGCAGGCAGACCGTATGCAGGAAGCTTGGAGAGAAGGCTTTTGTGCCAGACCCTGTCAAGCCTTGGCGATGTCAAAAATATATGGCTTGATGACGTGCAGGGCTGAGGAGTACCACGCGATGCTCAGTACAAAGCATGTTATGACTCATCACCATAAGAATTTCTAGCCTTACAGACAGACCGTTACTCGGAGGGTTCAGTAGCTCTCCTACTATTAGGAAATCTACCTCTGGGTCCTCGTAATACCACTGATCGGCCAAGGTTGGAGTATTAGGTGGTTGTTGATTCGGTGACTGTTGCATTATGTTGCTATATATTGACGAACTAAACGCTGCCTGTGATCCAGAGTGTTGTCCGTGCATCGGATACATGTTACTTTGGTTTCCATGATTACTTGGCATTGGAATGTCACCCGATGTTCCCATCTGAAATAATACAATAATTTAATATTGTAAACATATGATCTTACCATAGTAAAGTAATAATGCATTTAGGTGGTTATTTCTGGGAATAAAAGGCAAGTGACAATGGCCATTATAATTCGTTATAATTTTGCTGCATGAGCTATCTTCATAACTAGACTCCACACTCAAAACTATCAAGCATTTTTGTATAAAGGACATTGGGCAAAAATGTATGGACGCTGCACTCACGTCCGCCACGGCTTAAACTACATTTGTTTGAAAGGTATTATAGTGAAGATCATCTGTGCCAAAGCGCATCAAATTCCATCCCGGGGGTCTTTAGTTATTTCAAGTTAAATATGTAGAAGTACTATAACTAACGAACATTAATAAAACAAGGGAATTAATTTAGTTAGTTAGTTCGACCCTACATAGGGTGCTTAGGAATTATTGGAGTAATTCATATGGTGCAAGGGTGCCTTATGTTATTCTGCCGCGCTAAAGTAAATCCAAAAATCCCCGCATGGGTTCGGTTTTTTTTAAACATTCTATTCGTTATAGTAAATTGTCTTCTATGTAAAACGGAGCGACCACAGATTACACAAACTTGTCCACGCTTCGGAGAACACATAATTCAAGTTTATACATACTAATTGACAAAATCGATAATCGTGTTTCAAAATCCAAAGCGTGTTAGATAAAAATCAATCAAGTAGCAGAGAGCGCACAATCACAACGAAGTAAGACGAGTCGACTATTTGCAACTGCAAGTCCTTCAGCATTCGTAAACCGTTTTGAAATGTCTCAGTAAGAGCAAGCGCAGGATGGTCGGCAGGCTTTGTCGTATATCTGGTTGTATAGTACGATATGGCATATTATTATGATTACTAATAATATAAAATGAAGGTATTATAAAATGAATTTATTTAGCTACTTAAATATGCCCATGTGTCGTATCTACTGACTACCAGGATATTTTTTAAGGTGTGTGTCATATCTTATGACTCCCAGGATATTTATTTTCGGTGTCATAATAAAAAGGCTAGTTTTTCATAGATCTATCGATTCATACTAATTACATTGTTGCCGGAGCTGGGTGCGTTTTGCCCATTGTCCTTTACAAGCAAATTTTTGTCTCTGAATTAGGAAAAAAACCGTTTCAAGTTTGCTAATATATATATAGCTTGCTTTTCACAAAAAAAATTGTCAATATATTTTTTATGGAATAAATATATCAAAACTTACAGATTTACTTACTGAAGGATTGCTAGAATTCTGTCCAATGAAGAGCGAACTGTTAGCAATATTGGGGTTGCTCATACCGAGTAAACTACTGGCTGGATAACCTGACATTCCTGTACTACCGCCTTGCATATTTCCAGGACCAAGGCCTTGCATACCGGAACCCCCCATACTAGAGTTCATTCCCGAACTCGGTCTTACTGGCGGAGGAAGACCTTGCATTGGTAATCCCATTGAATTACTAACAGGTCTGATGGGCAAACCCAGAGAAGCATTCAGGGCAGAATTCGTAATTCCCACAGATTGCATGGATGGTTGCATGGACCCTTGTAAGCCAGAACTTTCGATTCCAGGATTCTGCAAGCTTGAGGTTTGCATATTTCCTGGCATTGATGACCCTTGCATTGAACTGCCTTGCTGTTGATTCCCGCTTCCTTGGTGCATATTGACTGGCATCCCTAATGCCTGCATACTAGTGACCTGCTGCAGTGTTTGTGGCAATCCCATTTGTAGGCCCATCGGTAATTGCATTCCTGATGGTAAAACCCCTTGCAAGCCCCCTGTCGATAAAGCTTGCAAGCCTGACTGCATTCCTGAATTTGGGATATTTGATTTTGTATTTATCATCATTCCTTGATTTGGGTAAACGGGACTTGACAACCTCATTTGCATTGGCATATTTTGCATTTGTGGCATTGAGTTTACCATATTTGAAGACATATCGCTAGCACTTGGTTGTTTTAGAGTACTAATTATTTTTTGTTTTGGCATTAAATCTTTATCTTCCAATGTCATATCAAATATTTCATCTACAATTTTATCCTCTGATGCTTGTTTCCGCATTTCACTAAAACAATAATAAATAAACAAATCATATTATATAGTAACTTGAACCTATGAAAATATTATAACAAAAAGTTGGAAGTAATATGTGGAGTTTTGAGAGTTGAATTTAAGGCTAATGGCTGAATGTATAATTATTGTTTGTGAACTGTTCTCTCTGTGTAATAATTTTAAATCATGAGACAAAAATAAATTGATAAGGTATGAGCAAGAGATCAATATATATATGTAAAAGAAAAAGTATAAATTAAGAAAATGTAAGCAAATAAAAAGCCCACACATTCTGAAGTCATGTCTAGTTTTACTACTCTCTAACATACTTTTCTAAGGTTTGACTGGTTGTTGCGTTCTGAAGTAATTGCATGATTGCTTGCTGGTCTTGGTTCTTCACGTAGGTATCTCTAGAGACATCTGATGCTGCCGAAACTATGTTTTGATGTTTCTGTCGTAAGCTGTTATTGGGAGTTATCATAACCGACTGGAAGTTGCCTCTTTCTTGGCCTTCATTTGCTTCATCAAGATTTATATCTGATCTCATGTGGGAATCAAATGTTTTGCTTTCTGTTAAATATTTCGATTTATAAGAGCTTTTACTACTGTATTTGTCATTATCGGTAAAATCGCCAGTTGTGTTTTCAGATCGATCTGAAAGTGATATGTCATTGTCAAGCTGCTCTGATATTTCATGCATTCCATCATCATCTTTAGTTGTTGAAGGTTTAGCATCTGTGCCTGTGCACGATTCAGGTGTGCTCATTTGCTAGAAAAAAAAATATTCAAATTTCAATGTAAAGTTAATGAGGTTAAATTTCATTATACTATTCAAGCTCATTAAAAAAGTTCACCTTTTTAAATTTCACATCACTGGCATCGAAGCGCTTTGGTGATAATTTCTTTGCTTTATCAGAAGCCCACCATTCTTCAGAGCCTTCCTCTGCCGTTTTAGAGCGTGCGAAACTGCCATGTGTATGTGAACGAGCGAGAGCTAAAAACAATATGACCAATGAAATTTGGTTCTCATCAAAACTAAATTTTACAATGTATAAATTAAACTTACGATATGTATTGTCTGGAGTTTTTGGTATGTTTGTGTCGTCGTTGCTGAATCCGTGGAAAGCCCCAGATGAATCAAATGTACCTCCACACGCTTCAGCATTATCTACAGCCCTGTAAATAAAAGTAAATTCCATAAACTTGCTTGTGCCCTGAAGTAGGCCATGTAGTGAATAGGAATACATAACATAATGTAAAGTCACCTATACCTCAGGACACATCTATCGACCCAACTAGCATTTTAAGTTTTGATGGTCCCTAGCTAAAAATAAATATTACATTAAGCATAATATCACCTATGCAGTTTTGAATCATTTCATGTGATTTTAACATTATAGTTCAACCATAAACATATATTTTTGCTACAGACTGAAGATTGAAACTTATAACACTAAGTGGGCTGATTGATGTATCGGCCCTTATTTGATTGCTTAGCACACTGCAACTATTAGTAAATGTATCAGACGATATTGCCTCGAGACCGTATTTGGTAAATTTTCTATGGTGGAACCGCTATTTCACTGTGATGTTGACAATAATCGTAACGTGTGGTTAGCTAAACAAACGACTGGCTATATTTACAATTAACCAATATTACCAATGATCATCATCTACCTAATCTGTGATTTTTTCTTGTTTAGCCCAATCTTAATTGTATTGCCGTATATACTTATTAGCGTTCGGCAAAACAAAATACTCATTATATACAAAGACCTAATAAATAACCATGTGAAGTCCCCCTCTTAAATAAGACAGAATGTACTTTTCTTTACCATTCTGGTAAATTGTCGTCATTGTTCTGTGTGTCACCGCCTACCCACGTGCGACGGTTGGAACTCCAGGTTTGAGGTTTGTCTTGGGTCTGTCTTTCGCCCCAATCTCGATCTGTAATCATTTATATTTATTTTAACATTTTCATAATTTCCAACTATAATAGAGATATATAAGGTATACCTTACATCCTACTTCCTACTAATATTATAAATATGAAAGTTTGTTACTCAATCACGCAAAAACGGCTGAACGAATTTGATAAAATATGACTCACCTAAATGAAATTGGTAAACAAACCAGACAACAGATTCAGCATTATGACAAAACAAAATCCATTGAGACATATCCTTGGTCTCTGATAGGACCAAAAGCGAAACATTGTTTGCTACTACAGCATTACATTATTCAGTAGTAAATGTTCAAAGTATTACATAGAATTAGAATAGGCAGTGAAAGGAATTATTTACTGATAGTGGAACATACTCGCGATATAAATAATAAAATGACTTTAAAGGGAGACTTTATCTATCGAAATATATTTCCGAAGTTGCATAACTTAGTTTTTTATTTATTTATTTATTAAGTTTATAGTAATACAAATATGGTTTTTAAATGTAATATAAATTTATTTTTTACTTTTACAGTAATACAAATGTTATTTAATTACATATGTAAAGAAAAGGACTAGGACTAGAAAACATTCCACTATCTGGGGCGAATAAGCACTAATCTCTATGCTACTAAATTCAAATGTATTTGATGGTTTTTCTGATAACACAAGTAAATTAATTCAAATTCAAGTAAGTTAATTCACATTTTTATTGAAATACAACTGATATATGGTTTAGAATCATCATTCTAGACCGCCTCAGGTCTGAGCCGAGCATCAGCTGTTACACAAACTTATATTATCTACATATATTTTATACTAGATGCTTTTGAGAAACACACCTGAATCTAATATTTTCCGGAATAAAAAGTATCCTTTATCTCAATCCAAGTCGTACTATATGCATGCTAAACTTTATCCAAATCTGTTCAGTAGTTTTTGGGTGAAATAATATCAAATATCCATACATACTTTCGCATTTTTAATATAAGTAGGGCAGTAAGAGTAACGCCCGAACAACTGTCGACGCTCGGAAACAACTCGATCCTTCTTGGGTTTTGCCACGGTCCGTTGCATGAATGCAGCGCCGCCGAGCTGCACCCAGACAATCGTAGTAATGCGATACATATGCTCTGAAGTTTTGCAATAATTATGTTCGGACTGAACTCAACTCAGTAATTGCTCGGTTAAGGCTCGTCTTTGTTAATAATGGAACAAACCAGCTCGTTTACCGTGCTACGGCCTATGCTCGCTAAGGCTCGACGACGGACACGGTCTAGCGTGAGTCATCCTTCATACCACTCCACTGGTTTCATATCAAAGGGTGCCCGCAGACCATTGGCGGTACCAGAAATTATTTTAAAGTGATGTTAGCTGAGCTAAGACAGACTGAAGCCATTCCATTCACGAAAAATAGGCCCCTTGTGACGAGTTGTAAAGAATATCCATATTAAAAACAAGAAGAAGATAGGGACTCATACTGACCCCATTTATCTTGCTGATTGGAGCGTCTCCCTGCATCTGACGAGCGCCACTCTTCCCCTTCTTCTCTGGACTGCCTCCAATTTGTTGCTTGACCTTGACGTTTGCTAAAAATTAACACTTTATTCAATAAAATGATAAAACATAGTGAAATAAACTTGTGCATTGCAGTATTTAAATTTGAAATGAGAACTACTATTGCAGTGTTCCCACAAGTTATTGCTATTAGGGAGTATGTAATTTAAGAAATTTATTTTAAAAATAATAATAAGTATGTATGGTCATCATTACAAGGAACTGTAAATTGTGTTCACACCTATTTAGGATATCGCAACATTTCAATTACATTACCAAAGACACAATACATACAAGAGGAGTACTCCGACTTCATACTAGCGAAAAAAACGACGCACACACACAGACAAAAGTCATTTACACGGCCGCTAACTAATCTTGACAAGACAAATCTACGGAGTGCCACGTCGCGCGCCGCCGAGATTGGTTGTTGGCCGAGTTAAGTTAGGTGCGCCGCGCCGCCCGCGCCGTCTGCCTCCGTTTCGATTCCGTAACGTGGCAATAGTAACTATACACATACAATAAAAATCTACATATGTTTTACATTTTGTAGGTACCAACCCTATCGCTCCGCTCAGTCGTAGGTATTTCAAGAAAACGGCTGAGTTACGCTACTGCTCTTGTATGTAATGTGCAAAAGATAAAAAATTAAAATTAAAAAACAGTCAACCCTCAGGTACGTATTTGCGAAATTCAGATTTCAATTTGCTCAACAACGTAATATGGTTCCGTTTTTACTAGAGATGGACGGACTAGCCGCCGATTAGTCGGGAAAGACGATTATTCGGATTCAATCAATTAATCATTTACTTATTTTTCTCTGTACCACTTGTGGTTTAGAGGTAAAAGTTCGCAAAAGCCGCAAAAGTGTTTGCTATTTGTAAACTTGATGTCAGTTTGTCCTTTGCATTCCCTACAAAGCATGATAGGGACAGACTGTTATCAAGTTTATAAATACGAATAGCCAAGTGGAGTCCGGCTTTAGAATGATGGACATTGCCGACTAGTCGGTAATTTCAAAACCGATCAGTAGGCTATCGGGAAATACTAGTGGTCCCATTCTAGTTTTGACCCTTTGGGTATAGAACCTTAAAAAGGAATGGAAATGTATACTATAAGCCGGGTCTCTAGCGCGTTTTGCCCTACACAATCAACAAAATCATCTATACAAACTTTGTTTCACTATATATATTTGTTTGCATCAACAATGTTTTTTTCTCTCGGAGCCTGATGAAAACACGAACATAAACCCCCGAGTGGGTCGTGAGGCAGGGTATTTTTTTAACGGTTTTTTTTTTGACAACTCGCTAGTGGAGGCTCCGTTTCAAAACTACGCTCCGAGTACAGCTTTTCACTGTCTTTTGTCAAATTTGAAATTTGTTGCACCTGGATTGTAGTTTTTGAACATACCCCGGTGTATTTTGTGTACGACAGCCATTTGAGCAGTTGCCGGCATGTGTAAAGAAACATGTGTCAGAAATAAAGTTATGTGTATGTGCTTTTGTTGAATATTTTCAAAAATGTTTTACTTTACTCATTAGATACCTTAAAAAGGAATAAAAACGTAAACTATACTCATTATATACCTCCGAAACAGTTTACTTGGTGTCCATTCAGCTTGTTCTCCACTGTTTCTGTTAACTGGGTTGCCTGTGTTACCTCCACTCCATGAAGACCGGTTGTTCATAGGCGAGTCGTCATCTGTTCCACCACTATACCCAGGCATTCGAGGACTACCAAGATGCCATGTTGTTGCCCCTCTTCAATGTAAAAACGATAATATTAACCAATTCAAAAAAAAATAATTATAATCAATCAAAAATTTTACATTTCCTACCTCCCTGCAGATGGTGAACGGACAAAGGGTATTCTGGGTCTTCCCCTACCATCACTAACGCTTAAGCCACGCCCTATACCCCTACTTAAACCAAATCTTTCCCCTTGATTATTGCCACCTATAGGTGGCCCACTTCGCATGTTTTCTCTCTGCTGAAAATTTGGAAAAAATCAATTTAATATAATCAATAAACAAATAAAATAAATCAACTTTATTACAAACATTATACACCACACTTTTACCCTTACAATGTCATCCTCAAATGTGTTATTTAGAGCAAGTGGAGCTTTGCCTCTGGGTTGATACAGAATGTCAACATATTTTAGTTCAGGGGGTGCGTCTGAATTTCTATCATATAAAGCTAACATTTCTTCTCTGCCGTATCTATAAAAACACAATAACATTTACATTTAAGGTAACTAAGTTAAATTTAGTACTGTTCAAAATATTATACAAGACGTAAAACTTTCTCACCGAAGTTTTGCAAGTTTTACTTTTGGTGAAACATTCTGGGGTGTGGTAGATGTGTTGGCTGGGCTAGAACCAGATGCTGTATTCCCTCCAGAAGGAGAGCCAGTGGCACCACTGTTGGAGGAATTTGGTGACACAGCACTCTGATTGTTGTTCCCAGATGTGCTGGCATTACCCTCTCGTGCCAAATTCCGGAGCCACTCTGGGCCAAACTTGATAGGATCATTGCGGTCACCCATTGTATTAATTGTTATCGACAGGAATGAAATTCAATAACAAATGCAAGCAACAGCTGTGGACTGGCTGAAAAAAAAATATTAAAATATTTTATTACGAGTTTTCACGAAACAGTCATAAAATACATGGCAAAAATTACAAAATGATTGTTAAAACAATTACTTTCGTGTTATATCTTATTAAACACCTATACGCCTTTACCACGTAATAGTAAATACTCAGAGCAAGAGTTATTTAAAGATTGGTACTGAATAATTTAATATATAAGAAATAGGGGTTTAATTCCTGTTCATGACATCGCTCTTTAAACACTTAGTATTAATGGTATTGAACACATTTAGTAATTAATAATATAAAAGCATCTAATCTTATTTATTCGTAATAACAATACATCATAGAATGGTATCCAAGAGATGGCAAGAGGAGAAGAGGAAGACAAAATAGAAGAGAAGATGACATAAAACTAGTGGGAGGAAGTACATGGACAAAAAAAGCAGAATGTAGAACAAATTGGAAGACATTAGGACTATGCTGAAGAGCAAGATGACAAAAATATAAAATTTAAAAAAAGTAATACAAAAAGATTTTTTTATAAATTATTATTACGAAGTTATGTCATAATTTTTTATTTTGCATTGTTATCATCAACATGTTTTTCAACATGCAGAAATATTCAAGACAAGTTTATCACTCGCAGTGCAATAATATAAAACAAATCGCAATAGCATATATAAAAAAAAAATAATAATAATAATAAAAAACATTACTATTCAATTGTATATATGACTGAATTCTATTAAAATTATCAGTTTCAATGTATGTTAAATAATGTAACTGTAATTGGATGAAAATTGGCACATATAAAGAAAAGCTTATTCAATAATAAGCTGAATTCTTACTTGTTAAAAAAATGATCAGGAAGATAGACTAATTAGACACAGATGAAATTCAGGCCTGATGCAAGATCTTCCCTTTGTTTATAATCTTTCAATCTTAATAATAAAAATAGTAAAGCACAACTTTCTCTACCTTACAAGACTATCTTTGAAGATGCCAGACCAATAAGCCACACAAGTCGTATTCAATTATCATGAGAGATGCTGATATGATCAAAGTATTTGCTAAGTAACATGCTTTAGTAAAAACAAATACTTTTAAAGCAACAAAAGTGTAACAACTAATTTTAATATAATTTTATTTATACCTAAATTTAAATATGTAGTCACTACCAAGAGACATTAATTGACATTAAGGTTGAGGCTGTAATTTTATTTTGTGATTAAAATAAGAACTCTTAATGTAAAGTTTATACTAAATCTAAATGTGTCAATTTATTCTGCAAAAAGACTAGTTTGATGTGCATTGAGGCAAAGTAACTACTAATTATTTTTTAAAGCACATGGAGTGTTAAATCATAATAACCACACAAGTTTTAAGTAAAGTTTATTGAAGCATAATATAACACAACATTTTTGGAGGTAAATTATTATTTAATTTAAAGAAATTTCACAATATTTTTGCAAAACTTTCAGTTGATTGATTCTTAATTGTATTTTACCAAACACATTAACAACAGAATGAGCATCTGAAGACTACATAATAAAATGTATAAAACTGTTTTACAGTAATGAAGTATTGTATTTTTATCGTAATAAACTTTTATTTATTTATTTATATCACACTTACAAACCCTCTATGTTAGCATAGTTTTAATTTTGAACTTTGTTAAAAAATATTCTAATTAAGTCTCCAACAGAGAATATGTTACAAACATTGCCATTAATAATGATCCTTTAAATATTCATAAAATTATAAATTAGTCAGTCACTGATAGCTACTTTCACCACTGGAATAGTTATATGAAAATATTTAAGGTGAAAACACCACTTATAATCAAAGTTTAATGAAGATAATCAGTTAGTAACATTAACTGTTCAAAAGAAATTAATTATATTCATTCAAGATACTTACAATGAAAACTTGTATAAAATCTTGTTGTGATTGTTATTACTCAAACTGGTACATATTTTTATTCAAAATATGTAGGTAAAGTAGAAGAATGAAGTTTCATATTCTAATTTACTGAGATAACTTCGCACATGCTAATAACAATAAACAATAACAAAACTACCTTCAATTAGCATATGCCAAACTAATAATATTTCGCATTCTTATATTTTATTGTGGTCACTTCACATTTAAACTTACACAACACAATTTCAATATGAAATTATTTAGCAGTAGTAACACAAATACAACTCGATAACACAGTTACGCCTTTACTGAACAATCAAGAGTATGTACCCTCCAATGTATGAAGTTTCTATTGGAAACAATATTATATGAAGGTACATTTAAATTAATGGACGACTTTTCTTAACATAAAGGATATTTTAACAATTTAGCAAAAGCCTTTGTGGTAGATGACAGCATTCAGTATGATCTTACACCTCGTGCACTCCAATACACATATTCCAAGAGTCAAGGTGGCACAAGAAATATACCCTTTTCACAAAAGGAAAAAGCTGTATGTAATTTTTATATCTCTTTTAACGTTCATTGGAATGGTAAACATATAAGTTAATTGTTTTAGTTATCTTATGATCATAATTACCTCAGGCTTCTGATTCAATAAAGTAGTAGACGCACGCACGGCGATAGAGCAATATGGCGGCCCAAAAGTGTTTTTTTTTTAATTAGCGATGTGCCGAGTCAAACTTACTCGAATACATAGTAGCATGTACTCGCGAACTCGAGTATATAAAATACTGAATTCGGACCCACAATACTCGAACACAGGTTTCGAGTACTTCCAGTACTCGTATCCTAAATTAAGTACTTTAATTAGTAACCGTCTAGCTGCGTTCGTACAGTCGAATTTTGAATGCCTACTATGCTTTGAAGAGCAGGCGTTGTGAAGTTAGAGAGGGACACGAGAAGTATTGATGTATTGTCGCAGGTTTGAACGTGTTATGTTTCCTGTCCAGCCGGTCAGCTTAATAATTTCATTATAGAATATCGTTTAAAGATTTAATTATTTGTTTCTCGTAAGTTATTATTTTAATATCATCAGATTGTGAAATTTAGTGATAAGTTTTAGTATTATTTTAGTCAGTGACTTTGTGATAGGATGGCTTTGAAGGAAAAATCCGACGTATGCAACCATGACAGTACTCCGTCCGTACTAATTATATTTTTGATGATTATATGTAACGGCTAATTTATTTTACATTATTCTTTTACTAGCTAAACCGGTGAACTTCGTACCGCTTATAATAATTTAAGATAGCAATTGTTTGGAGAAACCTTCTATAAATTGATCATTCAGCAATCAGCCTCTCATATTTACTGCCAGCTGTAAATTCACTTCAAGCGTAAAAAATTGTATTATAGGGGCAAGCCCTTATTTCATAGGCAGTAGTCGATCTTGGAATAACTGTCACTATTTTGGCGGAAATATTTAAACAGTAAAATCATTCCGCTCGAAAAACTTTTATCTATCCATCTACAAAAAAAAATCTTTAAATATGATCGATATTTCAAAAGAAGCAACTGCAAATGCAAGAAAATCGGACATTTAAGATTTTACATGAACAGTGGCCTAATTCAATGATATTAAGAAAGTATTTAGAGTTCTGCCGATCGCATCTAGCCGCAAAGTAATTAATAGATCTGGCCCACCGCTTAGAGAGTTCTGGGTTGTTCTATGTTTGTTCTACATAGTTCCAAAGTATTATTTGAAAAAACTAAAATTTGAAGCTGCCAGACAAAAAAAACGTTTTTATGGTAGCCCCAAAATTTTTTAAATTCAATATTGTTTTAGTTGTTCCAAGTTGTTCTAGTTGTTCCTTACATTGTTCCAAAGTTTTATTTGAAAAAACTCAAATTGGCAAAAAAAACTTTTTGAGATAGCCCACCCAAATGACCCAAATGATATCATACTAGAGACAATAAATAAATCAACAATAATTTTAAACAATGACGATTGTATCAGTACAACATCTGTCAGTCAGCAGTCCGACATCTGTATCATCTAAAAATATAATATAAATATACAAAATTAATACTTAGATAATATAATAATATAATGGTGTCGATTCTGACACGATTCTCTAACCTTAAAACTAAATTTAACATCAGTCTCTCCTTTTCATTCTATATAGAGAATGACAAAGATATACTGCTGTAAAATTTAAGTTTAGGTTTAGAGAATCATGCTAGAATCGACACCACTACCTAAAACAAGAATTATATTAAAATAAACAGATAAACACGAGCAATAATCTGCATCCACGATTAACACACATCCCACTGGTAGACGGTTTGAAATTTGTACTTAAGTATTAGTCATCAACAAACTTTAAAAAGAGGCACGACTCGATTACAGAAAGATTACATTAGAAAAGCGTAAAAACATTGACAACCAATGACAACAGTAAAAAATTATAAGGCCTTATGGGCATTGTTCCCTTTGCCTTAATTGATAATGGAGAATATTAAAAAAAAACTAATAATGAATGTGTTCTGAGGTCTTTGGCGGAAATTTCAAGCAAACGTGCCCAATTTTTATCCAAGAAATATTTTATAATACGATTCAACTAACAATAGGACCGACTGGGCGCCATATTTTGACGTCATAGTTGTCAATTCAAACGAAACAGGTAGAGTGAGCAAAGAAATTTTGCTATTCAATAAAACTTATTTACAAAGATTAAGTGAGACAAAACATCAGATTTTTCAATAAAATTAATTTACTAAGGTTGAGAAAGAACACAACCGATTTTTAATAGTATTTCTTTATTAAGACTGTGTGAAAAAAACATTAATCAGAATCTAGCTCTTCAATTTCGCTCATCTTTGCGTTACCGCCGGAGAAGTTATGAATAATCATGCAGACCACATACTAACATGCATCCTATATGTAAAGGAAAGTTTTAAATCGAGTTTCTAAACGCAACATAAAATGACATTTGGTTAACGATTTAGGTTATCAACCATAGCCAATACTCAATAATTGAAAAAAAAAACAAATAATATTAATTATCAACATTTGTTATTGTTTGTTTAAAAATGTTTGGTTTTTATTCTAGAATCAGCTGAGTGCTAAAAAAGTGTTTCGAGATTTTTGACGTGACAACGTCTTAAATTAGGTTGCGGCTGGGAGTCACTTATGAAAAAGTGTAACGCTCGGTAACGTTACGATGAGTCTCTCGTGTTAAGTTTAAGTTTACATGTACAATGTTTTAGTAAACAAAATATATTTCTATAGTTAAAATTTGTGCAATTCTTATTTTCATTCAATTCCTTGTTCCTATTGTGCAATTTAATTATATTCATATCAATAAATATTCTACCGAGAAAAAGACGTTGTCACGTAAAATCTTCGCCCGTAAAACCGACTTTACAGGCAACCATTTTTTTGCAAACCGTACTTTTCAAGCGACATTTGACAGATGGAGGTCATTGGCTTTCCTATTCTTATTTGAATCGCATTATATTGTAATTTATTTATTACACTTAGATAATTTTAACATAGATAAATGATTGGTCTCGCTACATTCCACGAAGTGGTCGAGTAAAGCGAGACCAATCATTTAGCTATGAATTTTAATTTAAAAATAAAAATGGTTGCCTGTAAAGTCGGTTTTACGGGCGAAGATTTTACGTGACAACGTCTTTTTCTCGGTAGAATATTTATTGATATGAATATAATTAAATTGCACAATAGGAACAAGGAATTGAATGAAAATAAGAATTGCACAAATTTTAACTATAGAAATATATTTTGTTTACTAAAACATTGTACATGTAAACTTAAACTTAACACGAGAGACTCATCGTAACGTTACCGAGCGTTACACTTTTTCATAAGTGACTCCCAGCCGCAACCTAATTTAAGACGTTGTCACGTCAAAAAGTTGTCTGTTGTTAATTAAATATGGCAGACAGCGAGGCCGGGGTAGATATGATCCCCCCAGCCCCGGTCAATCCAGGTTCGGGATCTGCGGGCAAAAGACAAAGTAAAATGAACTTACTGGACGGAAATACTGATGCGATCGGCGGCGGTTAGGAAAGTTCGCACTTTTTACCCTATTTTAAACCAAATTACAAAAGACTCTAATCTGAAAATTCTACCAATTTTGAGTATAAAGTATTTGTAGAAACTGATAATAATGATCGACTAGGCAACAAGAGCCCAATTTATTCAAACCACATATTTACCACTGATATTAAAGGCGTGGTGGCTATTCACCGGGTCAATGCAATAAAAATACTGCAAACAACTTATTGATGAACAATGGTATCGATGCCGGCATGATTCTCTTAACCTAAATTTAAATTTGACAACAGTGTATCCTTGTCATTCTACATACAGAATGAAAAGGAGAGACTGATCTTAAATTTAGTTTTAAGTTTAGAGAATCACGCCAGAATCGACATCACTGCTTTTTTGGATAAATATAAAATGAACCGGCTGCTCAAATTCCAATTTGAGCAGCCGGTATGTACGCTTACATACCGGCTGCTCAAATTGGAAGAACTGGAATTATCAGACATGTACCAGCCAACATTTCTAATAAAGAACTTTACTAATAATAGCTGTGCGTAGATTTATTAAAAAAGTTGGTCATGAAAGAGTACCATTACAAACTGTTAGTATTACTTTCCTGGCTAACAACCTTCCTGATCACGTACAATATTACTTATTTTCATACAGAGTATTTGACTATATCCCTCCTCTGCAACAGTGCTATCGCTGTTTTAAATTTAATCATTCGGCAAAAGTTTGTAACTGTAAACAACGCTGCAGTATTTGTTCAGGAGAGCATTTCTATAAAGATTGCAATATGCGGAATGAACTTAACTGTGCTAACTGTAGTGGTCCACATTTGGCAATATCGAATTAAGGTCCTGTTAAAGTCATAAAGTTCCAAGAAAAGAAAAGTAAAGTCACGTATGCCAGTACTGCCGTTACTAATAACACCAATATGTTAAAGGATAAAAGTGGATTTCTGAACGTAACTTTATGTTAATCTATGCCGCAACTACACTGACACTGACAAATGTCAAGTAACAAAGCCCGCGCGTTTCGTATTTGTATCAGTGAAGTAAAAAATTAAAATTAATGGTGTAAGGGATTTACAATCAAGTGAGTAAAGATCTCAACTAATTCTTTCACAAAATTGTGCAGTACTTATTAGTTTTCAATCCACCTTGTAGTTTTTGCTTGCCAGTATTTCACATTTTTTTTTGTAATATTTTATCTTCTAAGTGACCATGGGGCAAGATTTGATCAAAACAAATGGGGCAGATTTGAACGGGACGTTCAAAAGCAAACCTCAAATGTTTTCTTAGAAATTTGATATTCAGTTTATTTTGTGTTTACTTTTGAGTCTGAGGCAGTATTACATAATAATAATAGCAATAAACTAAAATTCTTGGGCAATATGATTACTTTTGCTAACAAGGATGAAGTCACAACACAGGCACATCTAAAATTACTTAATTTTATTTTTGTTACTGTAATACAAGATGTAACATTAGAAGTTTCATCTAAGTTTATTTTATATTTTAATTACCATAAATATCATTATAATAAAGACAAATTATTACTCTATTCTCTCTTTTTTCTGCTTTTTAACCCATTGTTCAAAGCTGCCCCATGTCGATTCAAAT